AAATAGACCTGAGCCCTTTTGAAACATGCTGCAGGTAGTAGCTGAGTTGATGATCTGGACTGAAAGAACCGGTGTGGTTTCTCTCCCTGACTGATTGATACTTGAGTAAAAAAATATTTACAATGGAGATGCTAAAGTATTGAGCATACTGCAAGATTTAAAACAAGTTTGTTTTGTCCTTGGAATGAATAATTTTTTCTTGGCTATTAATGTTCTAGAAGAACATTTTGAGAACCTGTGAACATGATTGGGTCACTATTGGATGTTCTTGAGGCAGAAGCAATGGTCTAAACTTGCATATTTTATGAAAGTTGCAGAATGTTTCTTCAAACTTTGTACAAGAAATTTTGCATTTGTTAATTTCAAGACTTACAAAAAAAATATCCGTACACATTAATCCGAAAGGTTTAGCTTTTTCTTCTCAAATGTCATGTGACAAGTGCTTATGTGCATATGAGCTCTCAGCAGTACTGCACCGGCAAAATTTCTTGGGGAAGACAGCAGAGACAGACCAGAAATTCCAATGGCTTCTTCTGAATGCTAAAATCTGCAGTCCCAAGCACTGGTGGAGCTGTATCGGAGGGCCCGGGACAGCATCTGGCTTTTACTGCAGCAGCGTACGACAGCTGCGCTAACGACAGACAGACACAGTCGTTGTCTAGCGGAACTTTAAGCAATATGGTCTCTGCTCCACCTCACCCCACAAAGTGCTTGATGCACCCCCGTACAAATGTATATGTACCGCAGCCTAACATCAGGATAACTTGATTTCTTAAGTCAGGATAGTTGATCTACAAGAAAAATGCAAGTAAACAGACTGGGCTAGCTCCATGTGTGTTCTCCAGCTAGTGCTGGTCTTCTGAAACCAGTTCTTTGTGTATCTAATGGACATTTTTGTGGCTTTTCATGAAGAGCTGGTATTTCTGACGTCTTTATCCAGATCATGGGTACATCGTCCCAGATTTTTCTCATGTTTCAGATGAGAAAAGGAGAGCAGTGTGCTTAGGATGCTCTCGAGGCCCGAGTTGCTGTTGGTGTAAAAGCAGGTGTTACTGAAAAATCACTTTGACAAATACAAAATGTAGTAAAATGATTCAAATACAATTCCTGCAAATTTACCCCCCACCCTCCTTTCTTTTTTCCCCCAGGAAAACTGGTTACTAAGAGAACGCCCAGACTGACACTCGGGAAATAAGTTCTCTAAGGAATTGTCTTGATGAGCTCTTAAGGACACACCAGGGGTGGGGGGAGGGTGTCAGGTTTTCCTGACAGCTCCCTAGCCGTAAGCAAGGACACCCTGTGCCAAATGAGGGAGCAGACCAGGAATTAAAAAGTCAGTGAGGACAAAGAGCAGCTTGGCTGTTGAGTTGCAAGCAGATGTGGGTGTCACAGCTGGCAGAGGCAGAGCGGCTGTAGGGTTGCTCCCAGAAATAGGTTCTTGGTGCCCCATGCACTGCAGAGCTGGAAGCTTGGAGGGAACGCAGCAAGAAGAGCAGCCCCGCCAGTTCAGGAAGCCAGGAGGGAGATGGATCCTGAGAAAACAACTGTTCATGTTGCTGGGGTCGTGTTGTACCTAGTGGTTTTGTGCTTTAACCTACTCTTTATCAGCAAGTCTTGAAAATGCCTAGATGGTCACTAAAAATAGCAGCCCTTAAGCTTTTAGATCCATCAAAATAATTACTACTGCAAGCCATAAATAGTATCGTAGTTACTGTAGGATAGTTGGCGTTGGCTGCAGTTAGAAACTATGCTTTAGTATTTCTTACTGCTTTTTTCTTTTCAAAAAACACATTTACACAAGAGTCATGTGCACAAAATGACATTAAACTCCCAGTGTGAGGACAGAAGCCTGACACAGGGCAGGATTTCTCTCAAGATTGCTGAAATGTCTTTGAGATGATAAACCTGTCCCTCTGAAGATGAGGCAGAGAGATCCATAAATAGAACATACTTAAAACTACACAGCTAGTACTGTTTCTTACAATTATTTATTTACAGAAGGTACAACATACACAGCATTGCTGTTCCTTCCAAAGGCGTATTACAGGAGGAGGTGCAGATTTCTGTCATAACTGACTTCCTGCAGTATTACCCTGAGATAGACGCATCATAAGCCTGTGATTAAAAACTCCCACGTTAAATATTCAGAAGGTTATTTCAGAGGGGGAGTTTGGGCACTTCTGTTTTTAGTGATCTGAGCAGGAATTACAGTAACGTTTTTGCTAGAGCTGCCCCTTGAGTGTGGAATTTGCAGGCACCAAGCTACTTTGGGTATGCTCTGCTTAGAAACTGGTCATTTTCCAGAGCGCTAAATGCCTATAGACGTCAGGTGCTGTTTCTTCCCTCATTTGATCTTGTGTGGCTCTTCTGTATCGTAATCTTTAGGGGTTTGGAGGTGTTAGTTAAGTTCAATACCATTTGATAGGCACTCGAATAACTTTTAATCTATCTGAAGGATGGTCTGGTTGTAGCTCGCCAGAGCCCCAAGAGGCGGCAAAAAGCAGAGCTCGCAGCAGCATTAGTGCCTGGCAGATTTCCCCGAGACATGCATTAACTCTGACATATATTAACCGGATCTGCCTAGATCTGGAGCACTGACTGACCATATTTATTAAAAATAAATAAAAATAATCAAACCAAAAAAAACACCACACCCCACAGCTTTGAGCTTCATGCTGTATGGCCTCTGAGTAACCTATCGAAAATTGTACGTATCGGGGATTCGGGCATGCATTTACAGAGACTCCAAACAGCAGCTTCTTTAACTCAGTGCAGATCAAGATCACACCTTTCACAGTACCTAACATTGGAGGCTCTTCTATCCCTAAATTGCACCAAAGAGAGCAGCTGCGTATAAAGTGATTTGTTATAATACAGAACACATTTACTACACTCATTTCTATCAATTTATTTTGTATATATAGACAGCTCTTTTTATGCATTCTTTTTAATTATGTAACTGTAATGAAATGTAATGAAACTGCAAGTTGTAGTTAGTTTTAATGCTTATTAAAACTGGTGTTTGGCCATTTGTTTTCTGCAGCAGTTACTTGAATCTTGTTTCCTTTAGGTAGTGAAGTCCAATAATGTTTACAGGATTGCTTGGTTTTTTGGAGGCTTCCCCATCTTTCTTCCTGTCCCCTGCCCCAAGAAACAAAGCACATGCCCGGCAGTGAAGCAGATGTGTTGGGGATGAAGTACTGGGATCAGCTTTACTGGCACCAAAGCATTAATGGTGACATGCGGGTTCCCTTCCGTCGACGTTGCTTAGCTGACAACTCAGATGCTGAGCGTGTTCTGCCCTCACTTCTGTCCCTCAGCCTGTTGCTGTGATCAGCTTTATTGGGAGAAACTTAAATCTTTCTGAACAACAATCATAAAACCATCACAGGAAGAGGCAGCATTACTGCTGTTAAATCTGCCTGTCCTGTCCCCTCTTTAACTTAGATGAATTAAACGTCCCTGAATTATCTCTGCAATTATTTTTGTATTTGCCAGCAATGGTCATCAACATTTGCACTAATCACAATGTCCTGGCTGTTTTGCTTCCACATAGTTATTTTTTAATTGCAATGCCTAAACTTGTAACGAGGTGTATTTAAGTTTGAGATGAAGTGTAAAAGATCTGCGTAATGACACATTTATTGTATTTTTTTTTGTATGTTACAGATAGGACTAGTCCTATGCACCGAGAAAACAAACATGTTGCCATTTATAGTTTAATACTTGAAGTAACTTTTTAAAACGAGCTTTTATAAATGAATTAAATATAAAATCACATTGCTCTGCCTGGAAGTTCCTTCATGTTTTAATTGTATTGTGAAATTTCCCCATATGTGTACTTTCCATAAACGTTATTTTAAGCCATTTATAACCATTGAAAGTGCATTCGAGATTTTGTACATCAGTGTTGAGACCTGTTCATACTTCTCTGAAGTACAGTTCACGTTTAAATAAAAAGTTGTACCGTTTTAGACTTGTTTTCCAAAGTGATAAAATATGGACTTGACACTCGAGTTCGTCAGTGAATGCAACATCAACTTAATAAAAGTATGTGAAAGAAACTGAAAATTTCATAGCTGTAGCACGTGTGTATTAGACTGCCTACCTGGGAAACATTTTGTAACTGTTCCAGTTTTTACACTCCAGCTACAACAGACCTAAGATTACACTCACTCTTGAAATATCTTCCAGGTCACTTGGTCATTATATTCTTTCGGGACACTAAACATGACTTGGAAATGAGACTGCCACTCCCAACAGCGATCAGCTCTGTTTCTTTTAGATCAGAAATAATCTCTGTAAGAGGGCACTGACATTTAAATTCAACAACTCTTCCCAGATTTGTTTTTTAATGGAACATTTTACTCTTTCATGAAAGAGTTCCAGCCTCATTGTAATTCTAGTTCATCTTAGTCCTTGCATGCCTGCAAGAAAGTGCAAGCTATGCTCAGATTTAGAATCACAGAATGGTTTGGATTGGAAGGGACCATAAAGATCATCTAGTTCCACCCCCCTTGCCGTGGGCAGGGACACCTCTCACTAGATCAGGCTGCTCAAACAGCATCGCACAGCATTAGCTGTGTCCCAAGTACTGATGTATACTCCAGCATCCCTTTGGAGGGGAAAGCGAGCAGATAATCCCTTGGAACACAGCAGGTGTGTTCTCCTGCCTTTCAAAAGGAAATGAGAGAGGCTACAAATCTATTTCAAATTATTATCATTGCACTTGGTGACTCGTGCTGTTTTATGCAAAGCCCCTGAAGAAAAGGCAGGCAGATGGTATAGAGCCACAGAAAGAACTGTCCTTTTCTGAAGAGACAATAATAACAAAACACATACTGTTCTGTAGGACTACTTTAATGTAAGATTTTGTATACTGAGCAAAGTCTCACTTGTCACTCAGTCTTATACTGAATTACAAAAACTTCCATAATAGGTACGACAGCAGATCCCACGGCAGTGCATAATACATGCCAAATATAAATATGCTGTATTATTCAAAACGTCCACTTTCTTGACACATTTAAGTGGTTTAAATGATCACTAATATATCTGTGCTCGGGGAACTTGGCTTTCATCCGGATTTTGAAAGCTTCAAATCTTGCACGTCTCTCTTCTGTGTTATGTTTGTATTCCTGCTCCTTTGTCAGGTAAGGTCGACTCAGCCAATATTCATTCTCTGCTTCGATCTCCAGCCTTCGGATCATTGCTTGCTTCATTGCAAGGGTAACTGGTCTTGGTCGCCTGTACTTTCCAATCCATTGTTTTCCAGGGATTCTCTTGCGGAGTAACACTGTTGTTAAAAACATTATGCCTCAAAATATAAACAAAAATATAAAATACTTGTTACCTTAGGGACAAGAATTAAAAACTTCACAAGAACAAATAAAAACTCTGCACACACTCCACTGCCTTTCAGCTGGCTGTTCTGAAGTCAGAGGTTCAGAATCTGATACAACCAATCCCTACATCCAGTACAATGACAGTCATATGGAAACATAAGACCAGAAAAGGGAAACAGAAATCTTTACTTAGCTCAAGAGTACAATGAGATTAAAGCACGTCCTCCGTAAATTATCTATGAAATAAATACTCCAAGATACTACTAAACAAAGGATTCCCTTTTTTCTTTATTTAAATTGCCAACTGCGTTGTTAAAATGGAGTATTGCCAGGTCTATCTTCTAGGTCCAGATCTGGCCTTTCTTCAGTGTTAACTTTTGACCACAGTCTCTCCATAAACTACTTGGAATACAATTACCTAATCTTGTATTCTAACTATGGGAAATCTGTTTTGTAGAGACAAACAATATCCTGCATTAGACCAACTAGTGGTTGCAGAAAGTAGAAATAGAGCTTCCAACACAATACACGTGTAACAAAGAGGCAAGAAAGTGCAAGCTATGCTCAGATTTAGAACCATAGAATGGTTTGGGCCGGAAGGGACCATAAAGATCATCTAGTTCCACCCCCTGCCATGGGCAGGGACATCTCCCACTAGATCAGGCTGCTCAAAGCCTCGTCCAGCCTGGCCTTGAGCACTTCCAGGGAGAAACCTGACATTCATTAACCTGTTTATTAGTCCAAAACATGCCTAACTCCTAGCTCTCCCATTGCACAGCACAGTACACTCATCAACGAGTAAGCCAAGCACTTTAACAGGGCACAAACCAACTCCAGGCTGCCAACAACCGCCACCCCGCTCCCGCACTGCACCCGCAGGCCGATGCTCTGCGCTCTGATCGAGCCCAGAAGCAAAGCTGCGAGGCTTCCCGCGGGAACTGCTGCTTCAGCC